TTCCCTTTGCAGAAGAGGAGCCGCACGCACGTTCCCTGACCCTTGATCGCTCGGTCCCGTGAACGTTGGAAACAAAGCGATGGGACTTTACTGCAGGGTGAGGAGATCTCTCTGGAGAGCTGGGAAAGGCAGGAAGGAGAAGGGCGGCAGTGCCAGGGTTTGGGGTTCAGCTCTGGGCTGGCTGGTCAGGGCAGCCACTGTCACTTCCATTTGTGCCACGAGTGGCGTGGAACTGGGGGAAAGGCGGCCGGTCCAGAGACAGGTGCTGGTAATGGACTACATTCTGTTTTCTAATGAAAGTTTCATTTGAAGTTTGTTTACAGGAAAGAAGAAATTAGCAGAGAGAATTCTCCTGAGAACCCAGAGAGGAAAAAGAATGAGCTGCCTGACTTGCAAGCCAAAAGAGGGTGGAAGGGTAGATTAGATTTACCGTATTGCTCCGAGTGGGAGCTGTTGCTGCTGTTAAGAAGTGCTTCCTTGTTTGGCTGCATGGTGGGAGCCTGCTTCAAGGCCCAGCCTTCAGCCAGGTTACGGGCATCCAAGGGGAATTCAGAATTTAGGTTTTGATCCTGCTATGGTGTCCCATGTTTTGATCCCAGGATGTGTGCCATTCTGTGGTCCCTCCACTCCAGCGACTGAAACGGGCCTTCTGGGCCCTGGCCAGGCAGAGGGTGCTCTGGGTGTTGCTGCTGGGGCCTGCTGTCCCTGGATCATCCCTGGTGTGAGTGTGACAGCAGTGCCAGGAGTCACTGCTGGCCCTGATGGGCAACACAAGGAGGTCGCAATGCTCAGCCCTGGGTCTCTAAGGGGTGTCCTGAGGAGGGAGCTTGCTGGTGGCCCCTGGTGTCCCAGAGAGCAGTGAGGGATGCAGCCGAAGGGCAGTGGAGATTGTCACACCTGCAGTGGTGAGGCCAGAGCAGTGGTGACGGGGACAGCCAGAGCCATGCTTGAGGTCAGAGCCTTTCTCTTGCTTCTGGGAAGAGGCACAAAGGTGTGAGGAGCTCCCTGGAGCACCATTGCATGGGCAGAGCTGCAGGGGCTGCCCCAGGCCAGCAGGCAGGAGATGTTCCCTTGGCACTTCTTACCACCAGCTTTGACTGTTCCTCACAGCCTGCATGGGTCAGCTTTGCATTTCCTTAGGACAGGCTGTGCTACTGGGAGCTTTGTCCCCTTGGTATTTTGGCCAAGGATGTTAGTGCTGGAAAGCAGAAAGCCTTGGCTGTAAAACAGGGGGTGACACTGGGGACACAGGGCCAGGAGTGCCTGGCAGGGTCCCCCAGCAGCAACCTGCTCTTCTGCTGGATCTGGGACTTGCAACGCGTGATGGCCTTGTTTGACTTGAGTCATTTATAGCTTATCAGTTTCTGGTTTGATACTCAGGGTATTTCTAATAATAGGCAGATGTTATAGCACCTCAAGAGAACTGTTCACGTTTATAAGACCCTTTACAAAGCACGTGCACGCGAGGCATCCTTCGTGTCACTGCTCCACCACGCGTGAGTTTGTGGAGGGCAGGTTGGCTCTGGAGTGGCAGTTTGGGTGCCCAGGCTGGGTGTCCTGCACAGCACATCACCACAGACACTGCCTCAGCCAGGCAGCTGCCAAAACACCCTGCGTGGCTCCCAGGGCTCCTCCTCCACACCGGGCAGGTGAGAGACTGTGGGCAGCAAGGACCTTGGCATTTGCGTTTGTGTCTTAAGCTCTGACAGTAATCTTGAGTAAGCCTTGTGAAGAAGGCCAGATATTAGGGTGGCTGCCTCCCTGCAAATGCTTACAATAAAGAGACTATTTATAGTTTGCAACAGGGAGGGAGACCTTTGGAGTTCTGTTCCCATACATACAAGATGGAGTTTCTGGAGAGGCAGGATTGCTTTGTGGCTGACACAGCAGCAGTGCAGTGCTGACCTGGGAGACACTGTGCCTCCCCCTGCCTTCCCCTCTCCCACCCTGCCTGACCTGGGCACAGGGGGTTGTGGGGGGCACCTGGGGTCAGCATAGCAGGTCTGGGGGTCAGGGTCCCCATCCTGGCAGCAGGTGTGCATGGGGCTGCTGAGCCTTGTCCACGCATCCGTCCTGTGGTGTGTCCAGGGATTCACAAGCTGTAAATTCCAGGAAACTCCCTGGGAGGCAGATTGAGGGAGCAGGCTGGGGTGGGTGTGAGCCCCCAGCCAGCAGATGTGTCTGCAGGGTCAAGGAGAAAGGAGGAAAAGCACAAGCCTTTCTTTAAAGGTGTTTGTTCACAATAAAAACTGTCAGCCAGCAGCGGCCAGACAGGGCAGTTTTTATGAGGCGCAGGCGTTGGTTGGAGGGGTGCTTGCCAATTGCTTCTTATGTGGAGAGGGAGTGGGGATCATATTCTATCTCAGGACCAAGAGGAGAAAAAATAAATAAGAGAAGAGGGTTTACAAGCCTTTGAAATGTTTCAATCAAAGGAAAGTGCAGTTGAAGGCGGTTCTGGCAACATTTTCGGTGTTCCCCTGCACTCCAGGGATCTGGATGTGGTCTCTGCCCATTAGACTGGGAGAGGAGCAGGACTTCTTACCACCAGCTTTGACTGTTCCTCACAGCCTGCATGGGTCAGCTTTGCATTTCCTTAGGACAGGCTGTGCTACTGGGAGCTTTGTCCCCTTGGTATTTTGGCCAAGGATGTTAGTGCTGGAAAGCAGAAAGCCTTGGCTGTAAAACAGGGGGTGACACTGGGGACACAGGGCCAGGAGTGCCTGGCAGGGTCCCGCAGCAGCAACCTGCTCTTCTGCTGGATCTGGGACTTGCAACGCGTGATGGCCTTGTTTGACTTGAGTCATTTATAGCTTATCAGTTTCTGGTTTGATACTCAGGGTATTTCTAATAATAGGCAGATGTTATAGCACCTCAAGAGAACTGTTCACGTTTATAAGACCCTTTACAAAGCACGTGCACGCGAGGCATCCTTCGTGTCACTGCTCCACCACGCGTGAGTTTGTGGAGGGCAGGCTGGCTCTGGAGTGGCAGTTTGGGTGCCCAGGCTGGGTGTCCTGCACAGCACATCACCACAGACACTGCCTCAGCCAGGCAGCTGCCAAAACACCCTGCGTGGCTCCCAGGGCTCCTCCTCCACACCGGGCAGGTGAGAGACTGTGGGCAGCAAGGACCTTGGCATTTGCGTTTGTGTCTTAAGCTCTGACAGTAATCTTGAGTAAGCCTTGTGAAGAAGGCCAGATATTAGGGTGGCTGCCTCCCTGCAAATGCTTACAATAAAGAGACTATTTATAGTTTGCAACAGGGAGGGAGACCTTTGGAGTTCTGTTCCCATACATACAAGATGGAGTTTCTGGAGAGGCAGGATTGCTTTGTGGCTGACACAGCAGCAGTGCAGTGCTGACCTGGGAGACACTGTGCCTCCCCCTGCCTTCCCCTCTCCCACCCTGCCTGACCTGGGCACAGGGGGTTGTGGGGGGCACCTGGGGTCAGCATAGCAGGTCTGGGGGTCAGGGTCCCCATCCTGGCAGCAGGTGTGCATGGGGCTGCTGAGCCTTGTCCGTCCTGTGGTGTGTCCAGGGATTCACAAGCTGTAAATTCCAGGAAACTCCCTGGGAGGCAGATCGAGGGAGCAGGCTGGGGTGGGTGTGAGCCCCCAGCCAGCAGATGTGTCTGCAGGGTCAAGGAGAAAGGAGGAAAAGCACAAGCCTTTCTTTAAAGGTGTTTGTTCACAATAAAAACTGTCAGCCAGCAGCGGCCAGACAGGGCAGTTTTTATGAGGCGCAGGCGTTGGTTGGAGGGGTGCTTGCCAATTGCTTCTTATGTGGAGAGGGAGTGGGGATCATATTCTATCTCAGGACCAAGAGGAGAAAAAATAAATAAGAGAAGAGGGTTTACAAGCCTTTGAAATGTTTCAATCAAAGGAAAGTGCAGTTGAAGGCGGTTCTGGCAACATTTTCGGTGTTCCCCTGCACTCCAGGGATCTGGATGTGGTCTCTGCCCATTAGACTGGGAGAGGAGCAGGAGAGGAAGGCAGATAAAGGGATCACCAGCAGGACCATGTTCGTATGGGGACACGTATCTGCTTCCTCCCAAGCTGCATGTTTGGAGAGTTGAGCCTGGGGAGGTCCCACAGCCCCTCCTCTCATTCAGGATCTCAGTGCTGCCTTTATGATGATGGTTTTGAAATCCTGTGGCTGACCTTTCCGGTGCTGGAAGCGATCCAGGGGCTGTGTCTTGAAGTACTGTAAAGGTTAGCGAGAAGGGAGAGAGAGGGAGAGAGAAAATGTCCTTTCAGCTGCAGGAGTGGGAGAGAGGAATGTCATCTATGCCATCGGGGAGCGGGTGGCTGGCCAGGCTCCCTGGCTGAGCTGGGGTGTCCTTTCCTTGCCTGGGACCTCGCTCCCCCAGCCCCATCCCAGGGTGTGTGTTGCCATTTTTGATGAGGGCAGGGAGGTGATGTCCCTTGGGAGCAGGCTGGGGGAGCAGTCCCTTGGGGCTGTTCTCCAGGAGCCTCTGCAGCATCAGGCAGTGCAGGTCGATGGGGATTGGTGCTGTTACCCTGATCTGCCCCACTGGTCACTCCCTACTGCTACCAGTCCTCCAGTGATTCCTGCAGCAGATGATATGATCTCAAGAAAGTCCCAGGATGTTTTATGGAGCCGTTTCAGTGGAGCTGCAGCCCATCCTCAGCTCCCACATGTCGCTGCCTCACCAGAAGCACACTGGGGTGGATGGAGATTAAAGGGTAAACTCCAGGGCTCAGCCATCCGCTCCTACAGGATGCGAGCTCTTTCTAATTGTCCTCAATTAGAGACAGTGCCATTGCTCAGGCACGTCTTCAGGCAGGAAGCAGAGCCCTGTGGAGGGAAGGGCTGCTTGCCCTGGCCTTGGGGAGCACGAGGGGCCAGCAGCGGCTCCTGGGGGGCAGGAGCTGCCCACCAAATTGTTTTTAGGAAGGAGTGTGGTGAGGAGATGTTAAAGCCAGAGAAAGGAGGGAAGAAAATAGCTCAACAACTTAACCCTTTCCTGCTTTCCTCCAGGATGAGACATCGGTGAGCAGCGAGGACTTTGATATGAACGACTCCACATGGATCTCAGCTGACCAGCACCTGAACTCCAGCCTGAGCCCCAGCCAGGACGAGAGCATGCGCAGCCCGCAGAACCTGCCCGGCCAGGAGGACGGTGAGTGCCCGGCGGGAAGCGCCTCTGCTGCACCATGTTTTTGTGGCTTATTAAACATTAACCAGTCCCTTCTGATCAGGTGTCCCACCTGTAGGATGGATTTCGTATCAGTACAGGCTTCGAAGCAGGGCTGACTCCCAGTCCTTCCTGTTTAGCCTCTGGGCTCCTGGTCAGCCAAGGCCCTCTCCAGCTTGGAGCTGATGGTCCTTGTGTGGGGACCTGTCTCTCAGCTCCTCCAGAAAGAGGTCACCAGATCCTCTCCTAAGGCATCAGGTTGCTGTTCCTGGGTGTGACAAGGAGAGCCCCATTAGTCCTGAGCCATGGGCTGCTTGCTGCAGGAAGGTGTCCAAGGTGTCCAGTGCAGCTCACAGCTTTCCATGCTTGGAAAGCTGCGCCTTAGATGACATCTTGGGTCCCCGTGGCAAGAACTGTGTCATTTGCAGTAGCCAGGGTGGACGTGGGTTTCTTCTCTTGCTTGAGGCACATGGTTGGAAGGGGCTGAAAGTGGCACACATGGGCCTGTGGGGGAGAGTTTGGTGAAGAGAGGTGGTGTGTTACTTCTGTGAAATGCACTAGTTTAAAATAAAAGAGCAAGTAAATAAATGGTAGAAGTAAGAGTTCAGGTCAGAGTTCATCTCTGTGATGCTTGGAAGGATTTGGTGGTTGGACTGTTACTGGCTTTTGCTCAAGAGGTTGAATCCCTCATTGTCCCCAGCCTGGCCACTGCTGAGAGAGTGGGAAGGGAGCAGAGGAATCAAGGGACAATCCGAGCTGGGTTGGTGCTGCTTTAAGAAAGGGAACTGGAAAACCACCCCCGGGGGAAAGAAAGGCCTTTTGTGCTGGCAGGTCTCCCTGGGGTGGCTTTTAGCTGCTTGTGTGGCCAGTGGTGGGGACAGTGGGGACAGCAGGGATGCTGCTCTCTTCAGTCCTGCACCTTGTGGTACTCCAGTTTCTGTGGCAAGTCTGCAGTTTGGAGAAACTGCTGGTTTGAGCTCCCCAGCCAGGCAGCCCTGGTGAGGATGTGAAACCTGCCTGTGTTGCCCTGCGTCCCAGGCAGGGCACTTCTGCTTTCTGAGGACCTGGTGGTGGGGCTGGGACCCTGGCAGCAAGGAGGGTGTCTAGTGGGACACGGTGCTCACAGCAGGAGCCTTCAGCTCTTCAGGACCAGGTGCAGCTTTCACCCCAAGCATGTGCTCCCTCTCTGCCTGTGGCCTGACTGGTTCTCTCTGTACCTCCAAACTTTGTTATTTTCTGGTTGGGACATCCTAGGCTTGTGGTTTATCTCCCACCACTGAATTCCCTGGTTTCATTTGCAATCTAGAATGACACAGTTTTGGTCCCTTTGCTCAATACTGTTATTCAACAGAACAATAATTTAATAAGGGACTCACATATTTCGGCAAATGAAGATATTTTCACTGAAGTTCAGGCCTTTCTCTCTCTTTGTCCTCTGAGGAAATGCTTCCAATTTTTCATGCCTGGTGGCTTTCCTTCAGAAGCAGGTGTCCTCTTTGGGGCCCTTCTTAGCTCTTTTAATTTCCTTTGTAAGGCTCAGTGGTGAGCAATAAAGCTCCAGGAGTCCCTTCCTTTTTGTGAGGAATGCAAGTGTCCCAGACTGTCCCTGGAATGGGCAGGGCTAAGCCAGGTAGACTTTGGCAAACTCAAAGTGATGGAGTCAAAGAACCAGCAAGCCAAGTCCAGGGTTACTAATCAGACCCTTCAAGCAGAATCCAGGCATTGAGATTTCCATCAGGCCATTGTGCTTCACAGGGCATTTTATGGGGCTGAAAAGAAGAGTTTGGTTTTGTCACTGTGGTGAACATCCTGTCCTGTGTTGGAGCTCCAAAACACAGGCTGATGCTGCTTGGGTTAAAGGCCTAATGGCAGTCCCTCTGCT